TTTAAGATGCCTGAAATGCACATCAAGACCCCAAAGATCTCTATGCCTGATATTGATCTGAACCTCAAAGGTCCAAAGCTGAAGGGAGATGTGGATGTTTCTGTTCCCAAGCTGGAAGGTGACCTAAGAGGGCCAGATGTGGATATAAAAGGTCCCAAACTAGACATTGATGCCCCTGATGTTGAACTTCATGGACCAGAAGGAAAGTTGAAAATGCCTAAATTCAAGATGCCCAAGTTTGGCATGCCTGGCTTCAAAGGGGAAGGTCCAGATGTGGATGTAAGCCTCCCCAAAGGAGATCTTGATCTTTCTGGTCCAAACGTTGAACTTGAAGGACCAAGTTTGGACATTGAAGGCCCAGAAGGAAAAATGAAAGGTCCCAAGTTTAAGATGCCTGAAATGCACTTCAAGACACCAAAGATCTCCATGCCTGATTTTGATCCAAAGCTAAAGGGAGATGTGGATATTTCTGTTCCAAAGCTAGAAGGTCCAGATGTGGATATCAAGGGTCCCAAATTGGATATTGATGCACCTGGTGTAGAAATTGAAGGCCCAGAAGGGAAGTGGAAAACTCCGAAGTTTAAGATGCCCGAAATGAACATCAAAGCTCCCAAAATCTCCATGCCAGACTTTGACTTGAACCTCAAAGGTCCCAGAGTGAAAGGAGATGTGGATGTCTCAGTCCCGAGCTTGGAAGGTGATCTGAAGGGCCCTGACATTGACATCAAAGGGCCTAAACTAGACGTCGATCTTCCAGATGTTGATCTTGAAGGCCCAGAAGGGAAGTGGAAAGGACCCAAATTTAAGATGCCTGAGATCAAAGCTCCCAAAATCTCCATGCCAGACTTTGACTTGAACCTGAAAGGACCTAAAGTGAAAGGAGATGTGGATGTTTCTGTGCCAAAGTTGGAAGGTGACCTGAAAGGTCCTGATGTGGACATCAAAGGGCCCAAAGTTGGTGTTGACCTTCCTGAAGTTGACCTTGAAGGGCCTGAAGGAAAACTTAAAGGTCCTAAGTTTAAGATGCCAGAAATGCATTTTAATGTTCCTAAAATCTCTATGCCTGATATAGATTTGAACTGGAGGAAGCCTAAAGTAGAAGCCGATGTATCTATACCAACAGTGGAGGGGGATTTGAAAGGCCCAAGTGTGGACATCAAAGGTCCCAAAGTAGGTATTGATGTCCCTGATGTTGACATAGAAGGACCAGAAGGGAAATGGAAAGGGCCCAAATTTAAGATGCCAGAAATGAACATCAAAGCTCCCAAAATTTCCATGCCAGATTTTGACTTGAATTTGAAAGGTCCTAAAATGAAAGGAGATGTTGATGTTTCTGTGCCAAAGCTAGAGGGGGATGTTAAGGGGCCAGAACTCGATATTGACGCACCCCAATTAGATATTAATGCCCCTGATATAAGTGTGGAAGTACCAGAGGGAAAGATAAAAGGTCCTAAATTTAAGATGCCCGAAATGCACATCAAAGCTCCAAAGATCTCCATGCCAGATTTTGACTTGAATTTGAAAGGTCCAAAACTGAAGGGCGATGTTGATGTTTCTGTTCCCAAACTGGAAGGAGATCTGAAAGGCCCTGATATCAGAGGTCCCAAATTGGACATTGATGCACCTGATGTAGAAATTGAAGGCCCAGAAGGGAGGTGGAAGAGTCCCAAGTTTAAGATGCCCGAAATGAACATCAAAGCTCCCAAAATCTCCATGCCAGACTTTGATTTGAACCTCAAAGGTCCCAGAATGAAAGGAGATGTGGATGTCTCAGTCCCGAGCTTGGAAGGTGATCTGAAGGGCCCTGACATTGACATCAAAGGGCCCAAATTAGACGTTGATGTTCCAGATGTTGATCTTGAAGGACCTGAAGGGAAGTGGAAAGGACCCAAATTTAAGATGCCTGAAATGAACATCAAAGCTCCCAAAATCTCCATGCCAGACTTTGACTTGAACCTGAAAGGACCTAAAGTGAAAGGAGATGTGGATGTTTCATTGCCAAAAGTTGAAGCCCCTGATGTGGACATTCAAGGCCCCAAAATGGACATTGATATGCCCGATGTTGACTTGCATGGTCCAGAGGGTAAAATCAAGCTGCCCAAATTTAAAATGCCCAAGTTTGGGATGCCTGGATTTAAAGGAGAAGGTCCTTCAGTGGATGTGACCATACCCAAGGGAGAAGTGGATATATCTGGTCCCAAACTAGATATTGAAACACCTGATCTGGAAATCGAACACCCAGAAGGAAAAATGAAAGGCCCCAAAATGAAGATGCCGGAAATGCATTTTAACGTCCCCAAAATTTCAATGCCAGATATTGATTTGAATTTGAAAGGCCCAAAACTCAAAGGAGATGTAGGAGGTGACATTAAAGGACCCGACATTGCATTGAAAGGACCTGATGTTGAACTGGAGACACCAAAAGTAGACATTGAAGCAAAACCAAAGAAATCACGATTTAAACTTCCTAGATTCAATTTTTCTGGCCCCAAACTTCATACACCTGAAGTTGATGTGAAGGTCAAGAAACCAGATGTTGATATCTCAGGGCCAAAAGTGAATGTTCAGAGTCCAGATGTGGATATCCAAGGAAAAGCAAAAGGTGGTAAATTTAAAATGCCGTCATTGAATATCTCCTCCCCTAAAGTCTCAATGCCAGATGTGGAATTAAATTTGAAAGGGCCTAAATTAAAGGGAGACCTGAATGTTTCTTCACCAAGCCTGGAAGGAGATTTGAAAGCCCCTGAGGTTGATATCAAAGGACCCAAGATGGAGGTTGGTGCACCAGAAATTGATGTTCATGGCCCTGAAGGCAAACTCAAAATGCCTAGGTTTAAAATGCCCAAATTTGGAATACCAGGAATCAAAGCAGAAGCTCCTGATGTGGACGTAACTCTTCCCAAAGCTGATCTTGACCTGTCGGGCCCCAAAGTGGACATTGAAACTCCTGACCTAGAAGGGCCAGAAGGGAAGCTGAAAGGTCCAAGGTTTAAGATGCCAGAAATGCATATCAAAACTCCTAAAATCTCAATGCCAGACATAGACCTAAATCTGAAAGGCCCAAAATTGAAGGGAGACGTTGATGTCTCTGTGCCAAAGTTGGAGGGTGACTTGAAGGGCCCTGAGGTTGACATCAAAGGTCCAAAGGTAGACATTGACGTTCCAGATGTTGACCTTGAAGGCCCAGAAGGAAAACTGAAAGGACCCAGGTTTAAGATGCCTGACATACATTTTAAAACCCCTAAAATCTCTGTACCAGATTTTGACTTGAATTTGAAAGGCCATAAAGTCAAAGGAGATATTGATATGAAAGCTCCCACACTGGAAGGTGACTTTGAGGGTCCAGAAATAGATATCAAAGGCCCCAAAGCGGACGTTGATATCCCTGAGGTGGACATAGAAGGCCCAGAAGGAAAAGTGAAAGCCCCCAAATTTAAGATGCCTGACATGCACTTTAAGGCTCCCAAAATTTCCATGCCAGATTTTGACTTAAACCTGAAAGGACCCAAATTAAAAGGAGATGCAGATGTGACCTTACCTACATTGGAAGGTGATTTGAAGGGCCCAGAAGTTGATATCAAAGCACCTAAACTTGATGTAGATGTTCCTGATATTGAACTGGAGGCCCCAGAAGGAAAGTGGAAAGGACCCAAATTTAAGATGCCGGACATGAACATCAAGGCCCCTAAGATCTCAATGCCAGATGTGGATTTCAACCTGAAAGGACCTAAACTCAAGGGAGATATGGATGTCTCAGCTCCAGGACTGCAAGGAGAACTTAGAGGACCAGAGATTGACATCAAAGGTCCAAAGCTGGACGTTGAGGTCCCAGATGTTGATCTACATGGACCAGAAGGAAAACTGAAGATGCCAAAATTCAAGATGCCAAAGTTTGGCATGCCTGGCTTCAAAGGGGAAGGCCCAGATGTGGATGTAAGCCTCCCCAAAGGAGACCTTGATGTTTCTCTTCCCAAAGTTGAACTTGAAGCACCAAGCTTGGACATTGAAGGCCCAGAGGGAAAAGTGAAAGGACCCAGATTTAAGATGCCTGAAATGCACATCAAGACACCAAAGATCTCCATGCCAGATGTAGACTTCAACCTCAAAGGTCCAAAGTTGAAGGGAGATGCAGATGTTTCTATTCCAAAGCTGGAAGGTCCAGATGTGGATATCAAAGGTCCCAAACTGGATATTGATGCGCCTGATGTGGAAATTGAAGGTCCTGAAGGAAAGTGGAAAAGTCCCAAGTTTAAGATGCCTGAAATGCACATCAAAGCTCCCAAAATCTCCATGCCAGACTTTGATTTGAACCTCAAAGGTCCCAGAGTGAAAGGAGATGTGGATGTCTCAGTCCCGAACTTGGAAGGTGATCTGAAGGGCCCTGACATTGACATCAAAGGGCCCAAACTAGACGTCGATGTTCCAGATGTTGATCTTGAAGGACCTGAAGGGAAGTGGAAAGGTCCCAAATTTAAAATGCCAGAGATGCATTTTAAGACTCCTAAACTCTCAATGCCAGATGTGGACTTAAACCTGAAAGCTCCCAAACTGAAAGGAGACCTGAATGTCTCGATTCCAGAGGGTGATTTGAAAGGCCCAGAAATTGACATCAAAGGTCCAAAGCTAGATATTGATGCTCCAGATGTTGACCTACATGGTCCAGAAGGAAAACTCAAAATGCCTAAGTTCAAGATGCCCAAGTTTGGCATGCCCAGCTTCAAAGGGGAAGGTCCGGATGTGAATGTAAGCCTCCCAAAAGCAGACCTTGATATTTCTGTCCCAAAAGTTGAACTTGAAGCACCATGTATGGACATTGAAGGCCCAGAAGGAAAAGTGAAAGGCCCCAAATTTAAGATGCCTGAAATGCACTTCAAGACCCCAAAGGTCTCAATGCCCGATATTGACCTGAACCTCAAAGGTCCAAAATTGAAGGGAGATGTTGATGTGTCTGTCCCAAAGCTGGAAGGAGATCTGAAAGGTCCAGATGTGGATATAAAAGGTCCCAAATTAGACATTGATGCACCTGATGTTGAACTTCATGGACCAGAAGGAAAGCTGAAGATGCCCAAATTCAAAATGCCCAAATTTGGAATGCCCAGCTTCAAGGGGGAAGGTCCAGATGTGGACGTAAGCCTCCCCAAAGGAGATCTTGATGTTTCTGTCCCGCAAGTTGAATTTGAAGCTCCATGTTTGGACATTGAAGGCCCAGAAGGAAAAGTTAAAGGTCCCAGATTTAAGATGCCTGAAATGCACTTCAAGACCCCAAAGATCTCTATGCCTGATATTGACCTGAACCTCAAAGGTCCGAAATTGAAGGGAGATGTTGATGTGTCTATCCCAAAACTGGAAGGAGAGCTGAAAGGCCCAGATGTGGATATCAAAGGTCCCAAATTGGATATTGATGCACCAGATGTAGAAATTGAAGGCCCAGAAGGGAGGTGGAAGAGTCCGAAGTTTAAGATGCCCGAAATGAACATCAAAGCTCCCAAAATCTCCATGCCAGACTTTGACTTGAACCTCAAAGGTCCCAGAGTGAAAGGAGATGTGGATGTCTCAGTCCCGAGCTTGGAAGGTGATCTGAAGGGCCCTGACATTGACATCAAAGGGCCCAAACTAAATGTTGATCTTCCAGATGTTGATCTTGAAGGCCCAGAAGGGAAGTTGAAAGGACCCAAATTTAAGGTGCCAGAGATGCATTTTAAGGCCCCTACATTTTCTCTGCCTGATATGAACTTGAAAGGTCCGAAGATGAAAGGAGATGTGGATGTATCTGTGCCAAAGATTGAAGGTGATCTTAAAGGTCCAGAAATAGACATTAATGTTCCTCAGATAGATCCTCCTGACATTGATATTAAAGGACCTGAAGGCAAAATGAAAGGCCCTAAATTTCAGATGCCTGAATTTAACATCAAGGCCCCCAAAATCAGCATGCCAGACATGGACTTCAACCTCAGAGGCCCTAAACTGAAAGGAGACGTAGATCTAGAAGTATCTGCTCCCAAAATAGATACTGATTTGAAGGAGCCTGATCTTGATATCAAGGGCCCTAAACTGGATGTCTCCATACCTGATGTGGATTTGCAGTGTCCAGAGGGAAAACTCAAAGGTCCTAAGATCAAGATGCCTGAAATGCATTTTAAAACTCCCAAAATCTCCATGCCGGATTTTGACTTGAACTTGAAAGGTCCCAAAATGAAAGGAGATGTAGATGTTTCAGTGCCTAGGTTGGAAGCTGACCTGAAGGCTCCTGATGTTGACATCAGAGGTCCCAAAGTAGACATCGATGTTGGAGGTCCTGAAGGAAGTTGGAAAGGTCCCAAAATTAAGATGCCTGAAATGCAGATGAAAACCCCTCAAATCTCCATGCCTGATGTACAGCTCGGTCTGAAAGGTGATGTCTCTGGACTAAAACTTGGAGGAGATTTGAAAGGTCCTGAAATTGACATTGCGTGTCCTACTGTTGATATCCACGGTCCAGATGGAAAAGTAAAAATACCCAAGATGAAGCTTCCTAAATTTGGCACCCCTGAGTTCAAAGGAGAAGGACCTCGGTTGGACGTCAACCTGCCTGAAAGAGAGTTGAAAGTATCAGGTTCTGATGTGAAAATTGAAGCTCCGAGTTTGGACATCAAAGGACCAGAAGGACAACTGAAGGGTCCTACGGTGAAGATGCCTGAAATGCATTTCAAAGCACCTCAGATCTCCATGCCAGAAATTGACCTAAATCTGAAAGGTCACAAGATGAAGGGTGATGTGGATGTCTCCATTCCTGGAATCCAAGGACCAGGGATTGAAGCTAAAGCTCCAGAGATTGACTTGGAATGTCCTGATGTGAATATTGAAGGGCCAGAGGGCAATGTTAAACTCCCCAAATTTAAGATGCCGAAATTTGGGTTTGGAGCAAAGAGCCCCAAGGCTGATGTGAAATCTCCCACTTTGGACGTGTCTCTTCCAGAAGCTGAGCTGAACGTTGAGTCACCAGATGTTGCCATTTCTGCCAAAGGGAAGAAAAGCAAATTCAAAATGCCCAAACTCCACATGAGTGGACCTAAAGTCAAAGGCAAGAAGGGTGGTTTTGATGTGAGTGAAGAAATGGACGCCAATTTGAAATCACCAGATTTGGAAGGAAGCCTCTCGGTCCCAGACGCATCCTTGAAAGCAGATGCCAACATCAAATCCCCCAAGGGAAAGAAACCGGTCTTTGGAAAACTCTCATTTCCTGATGTTGAGTTTGACATCAAATCTCCCATGTTCAAGGCTGATGCTTCTTTGCCTAAGGTGGAAGGAGAGGTCAAGCTGCCAGGAATGGATGTGACGTCACCCAGTCTTGAAGCTTCCGTTCCCAGTGGAAGTGCAAGTGTCAACATTGGAGGTCCCGATATTGGTCTTAAGGCCCCCGAGTTCAAGCTCTCAGGTGAAAGCATTGACCTGGCTGGTCCCAAATTGGAAGGAGATCTGAGAATCCCCAGCGCTGAGGCCAACCTTGCCATTCCTGACATCAACCTGAAAGGTCCATCAGTCAACATATCCCCTGTGGATGTTTCCGCACCTTCCTTCTCTGCCCCCGGTGTCGATGTTCACTTGAAAGGACCAAAGCTAAAAGGTGATGTTGATCTCCCAGGGGCCGAACTCCAAGGCCCAGGAGGGAAGCTGAAATTCCCCAAGTTCAGCTTGCCAAAATTTGGAAAGCCAGGAATGAACCTGGAAGGGCCAGATGTAGACATTCAAGAACAGCTGCCCTCTGCACACCTTGATGTCTCTTGCCCACGAATTGGAGGAGAGGCAAGCATTCCTGAAATGGATGTGAACCTGAAAGGACCAAAGCTAGGAAAAGACCTGGGTTTTTCTGGTGAGATTAAAGCTCCGAAGATGGATGTTGGCATGCCAGATGTTGGTGTCGGTGGATTTGAAGGGAAGTTTCAGATGCAAAAGCCTTCAGGTCTAGACGTCAATCTAACAGCTCCAGATGTTGACATGAAAGGGCCGAAAGTGAAGATGACTTCGGAAGGAGGCATCTCTGGATCTGACGTAGACATCAATCTGAAAGGACCAAAGATCAAAGGAGATTTCGGCATTTCTGGTAGCATGACATCCCCCAAGGTGGAAGGCTCTGGAGGTGGAGTTAAACTTCCCTGCATGAAACTTCCACAGTTTGCCATCGCTGGTGAAGGAGGCAGCATTTCAGGACCACAGATCAAAGGACCTGAAGTTGACTTTGATTTGAACATGAAAGGACCAAGTTTGAAAGGAGATGCCCAGTTTGCTACCGACTTGAAAGGTCAACACATTGGGCTAGAAATGCCAGGCATGAAGGTTTCTGGCCTGGACTTGGACACTGGGACCCCGGATATCTGTTTGAGAGGACCTTCCCTCAATGTCTCAGGTCCAAAGGTTTCCAGGCCGGACTTTGAGGTCAATCTGAAAGGGCCCAAGGCCAAAACGCCAGAGCTACACATGGGCGCCAAAGGGACAGGGGACTTTCACTTTTCTGGACCAAACATAGGGGGTGATCTCAGTGGTCCCAAATTAGGTATCAAAGGTCCTTCTGTTGGGATGGATGCTCCACAAGGCCATTTAGAAAGTTCACCTGGGAAGGTGTTCTTCCCTAAGATGAAAATACCAAAATTTGTGGTGGCAGGGCAGGAACCGGTGGGAAGAGAAGTCGGAGTCGATGTTGAGTTTCCCCAACCGCCACAAGCAAGTCTCCACGTTGAGGCAGGCACGGTTGAGCTGGAAGAACCTGACCTGAAATTGAAGAAATCTAAAATCAAAATGCCCAAGTTTGCCTTCTCCAAACCCAAAGTCAAGGGAAGTGTCGGCTCCCCAGAGGTCTCAACATCTGGGGCCAGAGTTGAAGGAGAGCTCAAAGCAAGTTTAGGGTCCTTAGAAGGTGAAGTGGAAGTAGGGGAAGCAGCTGTCTCGCCCAAAGGAAAGTTCTCCTTCTTCAAGACCAAAAAGTCTCGGCACCGGTCGTCCTCGTTTAGTGATGAGCACTCCTCGCACTCCACCCCGACCGGCACGCTGGAGCACGAAGGAGACAAAAGCAAGCATGCCAAGATCAAATTTGGCACTTTTGGGGGGATAGGGTCGAAAAGCAAAGGGTCTTACGAGGTCACGGGAAGCGACAACGAGGCAGGGAGAACACAAGGCAGCGGAGCCTCCCTGGAGTCCAAAAAATCTCGACTTTCCTCCTCTTCGAGTAACGAAAGTGGGACAAAAGCCGCCTTCCGAGTGCCGGCAGTCGAGCTGACAGTGGCGAAAAAGAAAGAGTAGTCCAGGAAAATGCTTGTGTACATAACGCCCCTTCCTGTACATAAGGTCCCTCTCTCCCCATGGCCCTCTCCTTCTCCCGCTGTATATATATATTTTTCCTCCCGGCTTCAAATACTTTGCAATGAAACAGGTGGTCTACAGTGAAATAGTAGGATTTGAGAGCAAAGTCATTCCTGTTTTACTGTGAATAGGGCAGGTTCCACTGAGAGATTTCTATCTTCCAGAGATGTAAAACAATTCCAGACTGATACAGCGGCATCCGTGCTCATCTAAGGGTGATGATGAGCAGTTTATATATCATTGGCACAATTTTCACGGCGAGGCCACGGCATGTGACATTGCAGAGCCCACCAGAAATTTCTGACCCTTTGTTGGGGTCGTGAATATCCCCCAAATTCTTCCCAAGTGGCCTTGGCTGAATTGCACCAAAAAACACAAGTCTTTTTTAAACAAAGAAAAACTTTTTTTAAAAAAGCAGCAAATGCCTTAAAACAAACAGCAGCAAGGTTTGTCGGCTGTATCAGTTTGAATTCATTCAATATAGAATTCCTCCCAGATATACAGATGAGCAAATGGGCAATTTTTTGCAGACGGAGAAGTGACGAATTTCAAAAAGCCTGGATTATGTGATATTTAAAGCTGTGCCGTAAGGAAGAAAGGTGTACAGTTTTTTGGGAGTATTTTGGACGATTTTTCTCTTCTGTTCAGGTATAGGGTTGTGCTTTGTATGCTGTAAGAGCTTTCTGTTTACCTAAGCAAGCTTTGATTGAGATATATTATATATATATATATATATTTCAATTCACTGAGTATCTTCAGTGTTGATCCATGAAAATGTGTTAATTTTAAACTACTAGGGGTTTATTTTTATTTTTTTGCTTTTACCTACAGGGGGCTAAAATGTTTTATCCTTTAAAATTATGGTTTTATGAAAAAGAAACACTGCACATATACAGAAGCAAGTAAGATGTGTCAAATTCAACAAAAATGACTTTTCATTTGTTTGGCAAAACGACTAAACCAACTTCAACCAAATATCCACATGTAATTTATTTGTTGTTCAAAAGATGCATTGCTGTTGCAAAATAATTCAAGCCACAGTCCTTATGACGTCATCTTAATTGTTTCTGTATATTTCTTATTTTTGTAAAAGAAAAGTTATCCTAGCTGAGGAACAAATATTTTTGTCATTAATTCCTCTGACAGGTGCAAACTGTTATCTTTTGTCATTAACTGTACCTTGATTATAAAACAAAACAAATACAAAGAAAACTATTTTTCAGCACTTTAATGGCAAATTAATTGAGAATGTATGGAAACTGATCTTGTAAAATGAAAATAAACTGTTTATTAACCTTTTAACTGCTGTGCTTTTTCTGGGTTCTTTTGTTGTTCAATTGCAACTATTTAAGGTGTCTGTATTTGCAAGCAACACAGAGCAGACAAATCTACAAAGGCAAAAATAGATCTTCCAGGTTGTGACCAAATTGTCCTAATCAGCTGGAAAGTCAGTTTGATATATTTACAGACTACTTTGATACCACTGCTTGGTTACAAAACTATGTGATCAGGCTTAGCTTTTGGGGGAAGAAAATAAGGGGGGGGGGGGAATTTGCCTCTGCCTACCAGCATCCATCGGTATTCATCTGGCTAGCATCCTGTCAGTGTGAGAGTTGAGGGCTGTTTGGAAACTGAAACAGCATTTGCTGTGAGCAATAAGGAGACAGCAAGGAACCTGGGTGTGGCTTAGCTCAACTGTTCTGCACTAAAGCTGCTTGGTGCTCTGAAACTGAAACTCCTCTCTTCTGCTTGTGTTTTGCATTTGGAAGAGATTTCTTTTCAGGTGGGGAAGGGAGTAGAACTCCTTAGCATCAGAGCATGTTAATAATAATAATAACAATATAGGAAATACTAATGCTCTGATGGTCATTTGGAAAAATCCTTTCTCAGTGAGCCCCTAGAAGCCAAGAGGAACCTACGTGCCAAATTTTAAGTTTGTAGGCTTTACAGTTCTGGAGATTTTGTGATGATGCGTGAGTGGCAGGAGACCCTACTACACCATCTCTGACCAATGGCAGTCCAGCCTCTTCTTGAAAGCCTCCAGGGATGAAGCTCCCACCACTTCCGAAAGCAACTTCTGTTCCCCTGGTTGATTGTTCTCCCTGTCAGGAAATTCCTCCTTATTTCCAGGCTGAATCTCTCCTTGGTCAGTTTCCATCCATTCTTCCTTCTCTGGCCTTAGGGTGCCTTGGAAAACAGCTTGACCCCTTCCTCCTCTCTGGGGCAACCCCTCCAATACTGGTCCTTCCCTTCCCTAGACTAGCCAGGCCCAGTTCCTGCAACCGTTCCATCGTATGTTTGAGCCTCCAGTCCCCTAAATCATCCTGGTTGCTCTTCTCTGCACTTTTTCTAGCCTGTCAACGGTATTTTTTTGCAGTATGAATGTAGTACTCTAGGCGTGGCCTTACTCAGGCTTTACACAGTGGTATTAGTACCTCCCTTGATCCTGATTGTATCCTTGTGGATACAACAACATGGAATTAAGAGAATCACCATTTTTTGCCTGTAAAAGCAAAAACATGTATGCACATAAATAAAATGCACAGGTAGTCCAACTTACAACTATTCATTTAGGGATCTTTCAAGGTTGCAACGGCACTGAAAAAAGTGACTTATGACCGTTTGTCACACTTAACATTGCAGCATCCCCATAGTCACGTGATCATGGCAAATGACTCATATTTACAACAGTTGCAGTGTCACATGATCCCCTTTTGCGACCTGACGAGCAAAGTCCACCAGGAAACCGGATTAACAACCATGGCAAGGAAGGTCGTAAAATGGGGCAAAACTCACTTAGCAACTGTCTTGCTTAGCAACAGAAATTTTGGACTCCGTTGTGGTCGTAAGTCCAGGGCTACCTACATTAGGATGTTTGCTCTGCCATTGAAATGTTAAAAGGGTGGATCCTTGGTGGGTTGAGAGAGATAAAAGTTTTGCTCTGGTCCTACACTCAACTCCAGCGTTGCTAAAATTAAGGCGAGGTTTCCAGTCAGGTTTTCTTTACAAATCCAAGATTTTGTGCTCAAATAAACCGATTCTAAACAAAAACAAAAAAAAGCCCTCAGATAACAAAAAGCACAATAAATCAGATTTAAAATACAATGGTTTTACTTAATACACACACCATACAACGTATAGAAAAACTTAAATATTAAATTTTAAAATAAAAAAAATCAGGAAGAGGATCTTTACATCCTTTTTCTGTGTTCTTTCTATTTTTATTTTAAAATGTAATATAAAATCAGATCTGATTTTTAAAATCCCAGAATCCTCCACCGTTTCCAACGTCCAAACCGAACGAGAACCCGAAGTCGATTGACCACAAATCGGGCCACGCCCCTTTCGCCCGGCAATCATTCACCCTGAAGACCCGCCCCTCTCTGGGAAGGAGCAGGCGATTGGCCAAGCCGGGGGAGCCACCTAGATCTATAAAACTAGTAGAGACACGCAGAGCGCAATATCCGCTTCGAAGACCGTTTTTTAATCCCCACCCCCCCTTGGGGTGGGGGTGTCAACTAAGAATTCCAACTCTTTTATTATTTTCAGGTTTTGCTAAATATGAAAAAGGAACAAGGGGATTTTTGCAATGCAATTTTGGGATGGGTCTCCTGCTTCCAGGAGGGGGGGGTTGGACTAGAAGATCTCAAGGCTCCCCCCTCCCCAGCCTTAGAAACCATTCTGCACTGTCGCAACGCATTTCCCTTTTGCGCCTCTTTTTCCCCCGTTGTCTAAAGTGGAAGGTCCGCTCAACCACGCCTTCCCCGACTACAAACCCCATCACCCCCGGCTAGCACGTGGGAGGAGGAGCTGCGGCTGCTGCTCCTTTTCCTTCCACACCGCAATCCGGGCGATCAAATTCCCTTTCCAGAAAGGAAGAAAATAATAGTTTTTAAAAAAAAAAATGGCCACAGCGCGCGATCCTAAGGCCTTACGATCCCCGAAGGGGCTGGCGCAACTGGACTGGGCTGCCCCCGGCGTGGGAGAACCGATCCTGGTCTCCACGTGCTGCGGGGATCAGCGTGGAAGAGCCGCGATCGCCCCCCCCAAAAAAGGTTCTTCCTGGAAAGGTCGCCTGGGCTCGGCGCGGTTTGCAACCGGGCGCCCGCGGGCGCAGGGCGAGAACCAGCCTCCGGGAAGGCGGGCAACGCGCGGCGAGGCGGGGCTCCTCCTCCCGGGGCCGGCCCTGCTCCCCAGCCCGCGCGGGTTCCGGGGGCCGGCGGCATGAGCGAGGGCGAGGCGGAGGGTCCTCCGCGGCCGGCCCTTTGCAAGGAGATGTGCCCGGCGGGGGAGTTCGCGCGGCGGCGGCGCCAGAAGCGGCTGCACCGGCTGGAGCTCGGGCCGGATCGGCAAGCGGACCCTGCGCGGGCGGTGAAGGAGTTCTCCCGCCCGGCGGCCGGCCAGGCTCCCCCGGCGCCTTGCGACCTGCGCCCGCCGGCGGTGCTCTTGGCCACCGTGCACCACCTGCTGGGGCGGTCGGTGGCCGAAGCGAGCGAGGTGTCGCCGGCCGAGCGCTGCGCCTTCGTGGCCGACCGGCTGCGCGCCGTGCGGCTGGATCTGGCGCTGCAGCGGCCGCCCGCCTCGCCTTGCGCCGCCGTGCTGGAGCGCGCCCTGCTCTACTTGCTCCACGCCGGAGCCCGGCTCTGCAACGAGGCGCCCGCGCGCTTCGACGCCCACCTCCACGACGGGCAGCTGCGCGAGACTTTCGCCGCCCTGCGCCGCGCCTACCGCCGCCCCGCCGCGCATCCTGCCCAGCCGCGCTTCCAGGCGCTCTTCCTCCTCTACCACCTGGGTGAGCCGCGGGCAGCGCAGCCGGACGGACTCATCCTGGGGTTTGGGGGGGCGGGGGGGTGTTAGACAACCCTGGGGTTGGATCGGGAGGGGGTGGGGCAGGATGCCAGGAAAAGGGGCTGCCCATGGAACGGCATGGTTGGGAGGTGAAGCTTGCCCACTCCAAGGATAGGATAAAAGGGACCTGGGAGGTTCTCTAGTCCAACCTTTGGGAGCTCAGGGACCACCAAACTCCTAATTTTAAATCCCGGGGACCAGAGACCCTGGGAAAATCCCCAAAAAAGTCTGCGGGAAAATTCCACACCCCGTTTTCCTACTGATGATCGTTCTTTATTTGGGATCGCAAGATATTGTCTCCAGCTCCGTTCTCAGGGGGAGAGAGAGACTTTTGGCTTCATGCAAGGAAAGCAGCAGAAGCAGCCGAAGTCTTTCTTTCTCTCCCCCAAACTCTGCCAGAAATGAGTCTTTGCTGGCACAGCCTCTCGAAGCAGGAGGCCTTGCACAGACTCGTTTCTGGCGGAATTTGGGGAGAGAAAGAAAGACTTTGGCTGCTTTCCTTTAGTGCAACCAAAAGCAGAAGAGAAGCAGAAAGAAGCAGCCCGGTGACCAGGCCAGGTGCGTGGGACAAGTTCCCCCCCTCCACCCTTCCCCTCCCTCACTACCTCGTGTTGTGCGCAATGCAAGCGACACAAGCCTTGTGTTCTCGCGCAGCCTGGATTAATTGCTTTGGGGGGGTGACATTTCCCTGCGGACCACTAAAATTTTCTCGCGGACCACCAGTGGTCCCTGGCCCACCAGTTGGCGACCACTGTTCTAGTCCAACCCCCTGCTCAAGCAGGAGACCCTATACCAGTGATGGCGAACCTTTTCGGCACCGAGTGCCCAAACCAGAACACGTGTGCATATGTATGTGCTGGAAACCCAAAGACCAGCTGGCCGGAGCGCGCGTGCCTATTTTGGGGGGGGTGTTTTCAGGCCGCTTTTTGGGGGGGGGGGGTTGGCCATTTTTGAGCTGTTTTTGATCCGGAAAGCAGCCCGTAAAACGACCTGAAAATGGCCTGAAAAAGGCTCAAAAATGGCCTGTTTTGGAGGGGTATTTTTGGGGTGCCCTGGCACCCACAAAAACCAGCTGGCTGGCAGAAACCAGAAGAGCAGCTGGCGACGGTGCGCATGCCCACAAAGAGGGCTCCGCGTGCCACCACTGGCAGGCATGCCATAGGTTCACCATCACGGCCCTATGCCATCTCAGACAAGTCTCTTCTTAAAAGCCTCCCATGATAGAGAACCCACAACTTCTGGTGGCAAGCAGTTCCACCGGTTAATTGTCCTCACTGTTAGGCAGCTTCACTTTAATTCCAGGTTGCTTCTCTCCTTGATGAGTTTCCATCCATTGTTTCTTGTCCTGCCTTTAGGTTTCTTTGGAAAATAGGTAGAACCTCCCCCTCCTCTTTGTGGCTGCCCCTAAAATCCTGGAAAAACACCCAGACGCAACCTGAGCACAAATGCAA